AAGCGGTAGTAGGGAAAGGATTCACTACAATGGATTTTTTACAAAATACGACTATTTTGCCAGACTGTCAAACAAACTGTAAAAAATTTTACCTTATATAGAAAGGCGACTTTTAAAACGGACTCAAGTAAAAAAACAGGCATTAATTACTTAAGAATATCCAGATAAATGCAGAGCTTCACTTATCTTTGAAATTGAGCAACGGAAAATGCGGCTGGTGCAAAACTGAGGTGCTTGTACACGAATGCCCAAAGCCTCATATCGAAACTAGACGAACTAAAACTTTGCCTTGCTGAGCTGTCTCCAGATGTGTTAGCAGTAACTGCGACCTCGCTGTCCGGGAATATTAGCGATAACGAAGTAGCCTTGCCTGGATACCAAATTTATCGGAGGTACAGGGAACATCGTCAGGGTGGTGGTATCGTTGTGTGTGTGAATGACGGTCTGGCAGTGTCGGATAACACCACCAAGTTTGCGTGCAGTACGGAAGCTATCTGGTTGACCATCAAGGCTACCGGTTCCCCGTGTCTCGATGTCCTTACTGTCTACCGACCACCTAGGACAGACCGAATCGCCGACATTCAACTATTGGAGCAGTTGGAGAAATTTTCCAATCGACCTAACATCATGATCATGGGCGACTTCAACGCACCAGGAACAAACTGGAATACCCTCCAAGCGTCAGGTCCAAAATCGGCATTCGATTACCGCCTGTTTAGCAAGACATTAAATGCGTGCCTCACACAACATGTAATGTTCCCAACGAGAACACGTGAAGGACATAGGGCAAACTGCCTGGATCTGGTCTTTACGAAAACACCAGACAGCATAGACGAGATCGCCTCCATGCCGTCCCTTGGCCGAAGTGACCACGTAGTGCTTAAGTGGGATTATTCGTTATTCTCCATTTCACATACTCCAGACCACAAAAGGCGTAACGTTTGGCGGGGCGACTTCAATCAGATGAGGGCAGACTTATCCGGTCTTGACTGGGGCTCATTGTTTACGGGAAGTGCCAACGATGACTGGGAGCTGTTCAGGAATGTCCTTCTGCAGCTCATCAACAACCACTGCCCACTGACTAGTGTAAGACTGAACAAACGCCCTGGGTGGCTAAATAGCAACCTCAAAAAAGAAATCAACAGGAAGCAAAAATTGTGGAGAAAATACTGCGTCACTAGACAAGCTGAATGCTTCAACACCTACAAGACACAGAGGAACAAATTGAGGAAGCTGATAATGCAGACGCGGCGGGAATTCGAGAAGAACTTGCTACAAAAAGCAACGCAGAACCCGAAATTGCTGTACAGCTACCTCCGACGAACTACAAGGAACAGGCATCAAATCCCTTTGATAAAGACTACTGATGGCGATGAGATCGCTGATAGTAGGGATAAAGCTGCGTATTTTTCACAGTTTTTCCAATCAGTCTATACAAACGAGGCAAGGTTCCTTCCTCCTTCCACAGAAGAACTGCCGACTCCAAGCTTCAGTGATATACTCTTCTCAGAAGGCGTTGTCCGAAGAGAATTAGAGGCATTGAACGAATCGAAGTCGCCAGGACCAGACGAGATTCCATCCAAGCTTCTGAAGGAACTTGCCAGTGAGTTCTCTGTGCCTTTATCGATGCACTTTCAGACGTCATTTGACACTGGAACACTTCCTGTCGGTTAGAAGCTGGCGCATATTACTCCGCTACACAAAGGAGGTAATAGGGCAGCGACGACAAATTACCGGCCCATAAGCTTGACATGCATTCTCTGCAAAGTTATGGAAAGGATCATAAAGTGTGAACTAATGCAATTCCTGGAAGTTCACGGCCTGCTATCGAAATGCCAACATGGGTTCGAAAAGGGAGATCCTGCACGACAAACCTGCTGCAATCTCTCCAGAGTTGGACCCGAGCTCTCGAAGACAGGCACGCGGTCCACATAGCCTTCATCGACTTCCAGAAGGCTTTCGAAACTGTGCCACACCAAAGGCTCTTACATAAGCTGAAAAAATAGGGATCGGTGGCAACTTCCTTAAATGGATCGAACACTTCCTTGTGGGTCGACAGCAGGTTGTGTGCGTCGGTCGGGGAAAATCAGATCCGGCTATGGTCGATAGTGGTGTCCCCCAGGGTTCAGTACTGGGACCCATTTTGTTCCTTATCTATGTGGACGATGCCGCAAGAGATTTAGACTGTAAAGTAGCAATGTTTGCGGATGACATGAAGATATGAAGTGTAATTCGGGGTCCTGCCGACGAAGACAGACTGCAGATGAACCTAAATCGGTTGGAGGAGTGGTCAAACCGTTGGTTCCTGCGGTTCAACGTTGCCAAATGTAGCATACTTCGCCAAGGCAACACAGCCAGATCCGCCAGCACAAGAGGCTACTTTCTGGGCGGTGCAGCCCTACAAGAGGTCGAAGCCCAAAAAGACCTCGGTGTGCAGACTACGAGTTCCCTAAAACCATCCGCCCACTGTTCGAGGGTGGCAAAAAGCGCAATGTCCGTACTGTACGCCATCAAGCGTGCGTTTATGGACTTTGACGAAGAAGCT